GGTTTCGGAGTTTCTCGACGTGGCCCACGGCTGCACCTTTCGTGAGGTGTTGCGTTTCGTTTCGGAAGTTCGTCACGAGGGCCACAGTCCGCCCATCCTGAAGTTCAGCTACTCCCCTTGCGACGCCTATGCCTCTTCCCAGGAGCAATTGGAGGCTTCCCTCGAGAAGAACTTCGCCACAGGAAGCTTCATCGATCCCGACAAGTACGAAAACACTCGACCGCGGTGGTAGGTTTACGTGGTTTGCGAGGACTCGGACCGTGGGTGACGTCGCTTCGGGTTCCTCCGCTGGTGGAGCAGGTTTTCGTAGCGTCAGCCGGTTTGTTCCGAGGTCGATGACGGCGCCATACTCGCAGAGAAAGTCCATTCCGAGGATAACGTCCCTCGAACAGTCTTGCAGAACGACGAACTTGACAGGGCACGTTTCACCGTGGATCTTGACGCGAGCAGTGCATCTCCCGACTGGTGTGATGAGATGACCTCCGGCGGTTCGTATTTGGGGTCCTTCCCACGGCGTCATGACTTTTCGAAGGCGGCGGGAGAGCCTCCCACTCAAGACTGAGTAGTCTGCTCCGGTGTCCACGAGTGCCGATGCGTCGTGACCGTCGATGACGACGTTTAGGTTGTTGAACACCGTTGCAGGGGCGTCGTAGCGATGCGTGGCGTCGGGAGAGTGGGAGCGCTCCGGCGTTCTTGGAGGCTCTTTACGTCGGTCGTCTTCGGCAACTCCACCTCCAGGGGTTGCCGCGCCTAGTTTCCCCGGCGAGGAGCGAGGGGCGACAGGCTTTCACGTCGGGGTCGGTGCATCGGCGAAGCTGGACGTCGCGGTGACGGCGACCGGAACTCTCGGCGGGACGCAGGCTCGGGGGACTGGGGTCGTCGCAGGTACTCGTCGATCTCCCGAGGGCGTTCACCATGACGGGGGCGCGGGTCGTTCGGGTGGAACCCGCGTAGCCCGAGTCGTCGGTATGGGCATCGGCGGTAGGTGTGGTCCGCTTCCCCGCAATGAAAGCACAGAGGGCGTCGGTCGGGCGTTCGCCACACGTCGGTCTTGCGGGGTGCGCGAGGCTCCGGGCAGGCGTACTGGACCTGGTCGTTGTGGCGTCGGTCGTGCTGCGGCGCAGGAGACTGACGTCGGGGCGGCGTGACATAGGTGCGACGAGGAGGCGGTGGCCGTCGGGCCACTGCGGCGTAACTCAACGTCGGTGGTTCCGGAGCGGTGCTGACGACAACCTCAGGCTGCAGCGCTTGCTGGACTTCTTCCCTGACAATCTCGGCTATTGAGGGCGAGGCTGGGCTTGCGGCGGCAGGTAGAAGTTTCCTGATCTCTTCCCGGACAACGTCTCGGATCATCTCGCGGATGTCCGCGGTGTTGCAGCCGGAAGGCGAAAAGGAACCGACGCCGGGAACTCGGTGATAGTGGGTGGCTCGTGCTAGAAAGGGCACGTTCGATGTTGGTGGCCTCCGTCATGAAGCCTTCGACGGTGGTAGGCGGGCTCCGCACAAGACCACCGAAAATGCTTTCCTTGACGCCACGCATCAAGACTCTGAGCTTCTTTGCTTCGGATGCTTCGGGATCGGCGCGGTTGCTCAGTCGCAGGACATCTTCCACGAAGCTAACGATGCTCTCGTTAGGGCCTTGAATCCTCGCTTGAAGAAGCTCTTCCGCGCGTTCTCTTCGGTGTTCGCTCATGAACGTTCTTCGCAACTCAGCCTTGAGTTGCTCCCAGGAAGTGATCGAAGCTTCGTGGTTCTCGAACCAGTTCCGGGCGGTGGCTTCCAAGGCGAAGTAAGCGTTTTGCAGACACTGTTCCGGTGTCCATCCGTTATGACGGGCCACTCGTTCGTAGTGTTGTACCCAGTCGTCGATGTCTTCGTGGCTTTCGCCGTGGAATGGAGCCGGTGTCCGAGGAGCGACGGGTAGGTAGACGACGGCAGGAGCGGTGGGGGCCTGCGACTGGTTGTCCATCGTCGTCTTCTTCGGCTTGGGTTTGTCCAGCAGCAAACCGTACTCCGGATCCTCTCCCTTGGTGCGGCGGCTGGTCCGAGTTTCAGGTTCCGCGCTGAGTGGTCTTCTCAGCGAGCTTGGAGTCGGGCTTGCACTGCGGGTCCTGGGAGGGGAACGCTGCAAGGGCATGCGGTACCCCGCACCTCCACCAAATGTCACGGGTGGTGACCAAACGAAAAAACAGGAAATATACAGAAAGAAATAAACGTTTAATGTGGCGAACTTGTGCCAAAAAAATAAAGAAGGAAACAGAAGAAAGCAGAGCGTCGCGGGCGTCGAAGTCGGCGTGTCACCAGAATCGAGCGCTGGGGCGAGACTGACTCGACAAGGTCGCGGGCGGCCTGTTATCTAGAGTGCGTCGCTATCTCGAAGATTCGGCGAAAGCGGTTCGAGCGTCGCGTGATCGGGGCGAGAATGAACACGCACTTTCTAGAAAACAAATGCAGGGATAAATGATAGAAGTGACGTGCGGTACATGAATAAACGGGAACTTTCTGGAGGACCGTGACCGAGCGTTGCTTTCTCAGCCTTGCGCGCGGCAATATCATAAACTGAAGAAACAGCCACCCAAAACATTCTACAAGTCTCCACTTGCGCTTTAAGGGTAACAATGCTCTTTAGCGGCGTAGGAACCAGATTTCCATCGAAGTTCGCTACTGTTTCGATCGACAGCTGCACGGGAACTACCGTGACTGCCGTATTCACTCAAATAGAGACCGGTGTTTTCTTCTCTCTTTCCCCGCTCAATTGTCTTGTTAGTTAGAGATTAATTTACAGTGAAGACCAAGAAGGTCGACCCGTCAGAATCCCGAGCATAATTTGCGCGCCTCTCGCGCTACCCAAACACTCCCCCGGATCAGCAGCTGCTCCTAGCGCTCCGGGGCAAAGCGGTGAAGCTCGACGCTCCGCACGCTGTCAGAGGCGGCGAAGCTTGGAGCGAGCGGTGCCACGCTACTCTGCAGCTACGGAACAAAGTCACGTGGTACACACGATAATCGATTTATCAGGAGTGTGAGACCCTGTCTTATCGCAGTATCGGCAATCCGACTATTTTACCAAGTTTTCTCGGGACCCTTAGTTCCCGACATCGACGACGTGGTCTGGAAATTGAGACGATCTGAGCGGTCAAGCAGCCAGCGCATTCACCGGCCAGAGCGGTTGATGTCCAGTGTCAACGGCTCTGGCCGGTTGATTGGCAGAATCAAAAATGCGACATGATGGCATTCGTCATCTCCTTGTACCCGTTCTTAAACCAATCAAGTGCCGCCTTTGTCACCTGACTAGCGCTGTTAGTACGTGCATTTGGGGTTGTATGTGTTCGAACCTTCGAATGTGCTCTGACCTAAGACAAAACTAAGTGTTCAGTGAGTAGGGACGCAGTGAAATTCATATTTGCGCAACTTTTCTTCTACTTCTCACACTGGGTGGACCGATAATAAAATAGTTTTGTTTGCGCTTTAAGCCCATCTCGGCGCATGGGTGGCGCAATTCCTAGCAAAAATGCATTTTGGCGCGAGATGTAACTGTCACAAAATCCGGCTATGTTACGTTATTCATGTCACAAAATCCGACTGTGTTACGTTATCCATTCTCCCGGGCTAGACTAGACGCGTCCTTCCAAGAAATTCGCGGGGTGTGGAGGCTTGGACCCAGCTCCCACGAAAACGAAGCGATGCTCCCTTTGGGGGAAGGGGCGAGCGGGCCAGCGTCCCATGGGTTTCTTTTTGTTTTGTTTTCCACGCCTGCGTGCTGGAGTGCTGGGGCCCGTCCAGGGGGACTCTTTGGGGCAAAGGCGAGCAGTTTGAGCGGGAAACTCAGAAGCAACAGACGAGGAAGCGTCGAGTCCGTCGAGCTCAACGGTAGCGGGCCAGGTCCGGACTGGGGAAGACTTGGACGACGAAGTGTGTGTGTTTGATTGTGTGGCCGCTTCAAGCCGCCCAACCCACCGTGGTACCGCCGGGACCATTCCTTCCTCCATCGGACAGCGCCTCGCAAGACCGTCCCTCCTGGACACTGTGAGACAAGATTTCCCCTCCACTCGCATTTTTCTTTATAGTAATTAAGGTACCCGTATTTACGTAGTTGGTTTTTATTCTCACGGATGTCCGATTGTATTAACTGATAACATTTAAGCTCCGAAGTTGTTATCTTTCCATGTTCGGGGAAGCTCCCGCGTAAGAGATGGTTAATGCATTGCAGTGAGCGGTAGACTTTGGGTTTTGCCTAATTCGTTGTGTGTTGAGTGATTTCATCTTCGCCACCAGTGCACCGGCCGGGTGAAGTGCGTTCGAGTCCTATTGTTTTCGCAGCTCGGCACTTGTTAATCTTTTTTTTTTTTGTCTTTTGTTTTGTTTTGTTTTGTAGTATTAAATTCGTTTGGTTGCAAAACTGTGGTCTCCCCTTCATTGGCAAGACTCCACCGAGGCGTGGACCAATCGCCTGGTCGGCAGTCCTTTGTGTTTAAACAGAGAATATCAGCAAGCCTGTGACAGTAACAGGCCTTCGTTCATGTCGCAATGGACCTTTTCCACATACCGAGGGCACCAGGTGGTGACTGCACGAACTAAAAATTGAGGAAGTGACCTACCTGCGCTACCAATCGATAATGGGAGCTACGCTACCAGTTTTTTCGATCTCTGAGCTGCGGCGAGTGCCCAACGCGACTTCGAAGAGGGGCATCTGTGGCGTCCACCCACACATCGTGCTTTTCTTTCCGTCCACTTTCTTTTTTTCTGTAAGGCAATTATATATATGCTGCAATTACGTGTTCGACTCGCTGATCCCCAGCCTCCTTCCGAATTTCCTCGATTTTTCGTTCCGACTTTAGGCGCTTGGCATCGGGCGTTCGGGCGTGCGCAGAACGCTTCTCGGAAAAGGTTTATTTGGCGCAAGTTGCGCAGCACTTGCCTCACTGCTATAAGCGCCGAGTTTTTCGGCTCCTTTTAGGGGGAACTTCAGGTTCGTACACACTCCAAAGTGTAGATGAACAAACCTTGCGCAGCCTTCCCGTAGAAAACGCTGGACTTGCTGTGGGTCGGATCTTCCTCCATTTCTCAACAGGTAGAAATCCCATCATGTTGTCCATAAGTGGATCGGCAAATTTCATCTCCTGCGCATAAAAAATAAATAAATAAACACAACAGGGTGGTTTCATTTGAAATTGAACACGCTTGTCGGGGTGGGTCTTCAGATTTTTTTTTTTTTTTTTCAATATATGTGGTTGCCCTTTTTCTGCAAAGAACAAAACCGCTTTCCAAAAATTGTTTTAAAACATATTTCGCTTCACACAAAAAATATTAAGTGAAGCAGGGTGAAAATCTGTTTTTTACTCCGGGATTGTTCTACCCAGTTCTATGCGCTGGTATGAAAACGGAAAGCATACAAAACTGACAGGTATTTTTTGTGCGCGTGCAAGTTATTTCGTCTATTTTTTAGTTCAAAGAAAAGTACTTCTGCATTTTTGTTTATAGAGGTAAAAAATGCCAAACATCGTCTCTTTGAAAATCCACTGGCATCCTCAGAGCCTTGTAACTCATGAGTTATTATATTTGTCGCTTACTAAATACTATGCGTGTGTGGTCCTATACATGGGCTATCGGCGGGCATAAGTTTATTTTATCTTATCTTCACTTAATTGTTTATATAAATTTTGAAATATCGTCGAAAATTAGATTAACTGATATTTTGAACCCATTTTATCGAAAAAGGCTATTTTCTATTTCGTTCATTTTTTTTTTTTTCATTTTTGCTGCCGATTATGGGAACCTTCAATTGGGTTGCTGCGATTTCCCCCCTTTTTTTTTTTTTTTTTTTTTTTTTTTTTTGTTGTGCCTTCTCTAGGAGTGAGCTCAATCGCTCCCACTTTCTCGGAACGGCCAAACGCAGTTTCCGCAGGTCGGCCTCACTGCAAAGACTATACTGCTTATTTTTGTGTTAAAAGGCAGCGGGTAAATTTATTTTGATTGAGAATACTCGTGCTTGGCTACATATTGTGTTTTCTTAATTTGGTAATGGTGGCAACTGACATTCCTTTGTTCGATCATTAGTGGTGCAGCGGATGTTCCATTATCCGATGTTTAAAGCCAGGGCACAAAGGGCGGAGAAAACGGAACGGAGCTCTTTATGTAGCCAGACTGGGGTCATATATCTGTTTGTGCTATACACAGCTTGTAAGGCACGCACAGCACGCCCGGCCCTTGGCGCTATGTCCGTTACACCGCATCCGGCACGGGACGCCAATCCATAATGTGTCTTGTCGCGCGCAATCAAATAACCATGTGATTGCCTGTTCGTTATTCTCAGTGTGTATATCAAAATATGTAATATCACGTGGCCTTCTTTAAGAAGGAAAAAAAAGTTTACAGAAGGAGAGTGGGTAATACGGACTGAGTTTACATGAAGCGAAGACATTTTTTTACAGAACACAAACACCAATTGGCGATAAATAGTCACTTTTACTAATTAGCGCTAATATATTTAGAATGCACTTGACAGCCAATATGTTGCTGCGCTTTAATTAGTCTAGTTCACGAGCAACGCAATATTGGAACTTTTTGACAACGGCATCGGCTTGCTTCTGCGGAGAAGATCGAGCGCGGGGGCCGAGCTGAACTTTGTACCGCAACGGTCGGATGCAGCAAAGAAGTTCAACAGCGTGGTAAGTCCAGACGGACAGAACGAAAGCTGGAGCCAAAGCGAGCGCGAGCGGTGAACCCGAGACGGTGGCCCTTCTGTTTCAACGAATCCGTGCAGATAAAAATATAAGTGGTGGGTTTTGTTCAAGACTGATCGATATCTCTGATGCCAAGAAGCAACGATCCCCACATGCACAGAAGGCAGCAAAAGCAGTCACTTAATGTCTCTGTAGACTTTTAGGTTCTCCACTTTGTCACACCGAGCTTAATGCAAAGATTCTACAGCTTTCGGGAAAATGGAAAAGCGATTTGACGATTTTATTTTAGGTGGCCACGGTAGATTTGCTTTGGCTAGGCACACGTTGCTTTGGTTTGGGAATAAATAAAGGTTTGTCCTATTTTCTCGTTCAAAATAAAGCACGTCCGGCCAAGGCGGGCTTGGCACCGCTGCATAAACAGCATCGGCGAATCTGTCTTTCATATTGCCGGAGAATGTACATCTCGTGCTAATTTCACCTTAGGTTCCAGGCCTGGCTCGCGAACTGTGCACCACACAGGTGAGAAGCGTTATCCTTTGCGAGCGCCTACTGAGGCCCATTCTTATCTTTTGTGCTTCCTGAATATATCGATTTCTTTCTCCAGTAAGTCGAAAAGCACAACGCTTTCTGTCACTGTTTTCATTTTTCTTTTCAACGAAGTACTTTGACGTCCGCATCAAGGAGCCGTCCTGCGAACGAAAATTGTGTGTTGTGGCGAGGTGCTTCAAGCCTTACAACCTGCGTATAACACAAACAGACATATGACCCCGGTCTGGCTACATGAAGAGCTCGTTCCGTTTTTTCCGTTCTTTGTGCCCTGGCTTTAGACATTGGATAATGGAACATCCGCTGAACCGCTAACGATCGGACTAAGGAATGTCAGTTGCCATCATTACAAAATCAAGAAAATACTATATGTAGCCAAGCACGAGTGTTTTTAATAAAAATAAATTTACCCGCTGCCTTTTAATACAAAAATAAGAAGTATAGTCTTTGCAGCGAAGCCGCCCTGCGGAGACTGCGTTTGGCAGTTCCGAGAAAGTGGAAGCGGTTTCGATCCCTTTTAGAGAAGATACAACAAAAAAAGAACGAAATCGCATCAAGCCAATTGAAAGTTCATATGATCGACAGCAATATTTAAACAAAATTGAAAGAAATGAAAATGGCCTTTTTCGATAAATCGGTTCAAAATATCGGTTAATCTCATTTTCGACGATATTTCAAATTTTATATAAACAATTCCGTGGAGATAAGGTAAACTAAACTTATGTCAGTCGATAGGCAATGTATAGGGCTACACCCGCATAGTATTTAGTAAGCGTCAAATATAATAACTCATGAGTTGCAAGGCTCTGAAGATGTCACCGAATTGTCAAAGACACGACGTTTGTCATTTTTTATCTCAATAAACAAAAATACAACAGTATTTTCCTTTGAACTCGAAAATAGTCGAAATAATATACAAGAGCACAAAAAATTACTGTGAGTTTTCTATGCTTTCCGTATTCATACCAGCGTACAGAATTGGGTAGAAAAATCGCGGAGTAAAAAACAAATTTTCACCCTGCTCCACTCAACATTTTTTTGTGAAACGAAATATTTTTAAACAAATTTCGAAAAGTGGTTTTGTGCTTTCCAGAAATGGGGCAATACAAATATATATATTTTTTTTTTTTTTTCAAATCGAAAGACTTATTCCGACAAGCGTGTTCGATTTCAAATGAAACCACCTAACGAAACAAGTACACCACTTGACCCAACATAGCAGCAAATTTAAAGGATATAGAAGAGCAGAAACATCCTTTATGCGTACGCAGGCTGAGGCGTTATTAAAGAAAACCTGCCAACGATTCTAGCTTTAGTTTTACTTATCCTCTAGGTATAACGGAGTATCTGTTCAGCAGGTACACCAACGTTAATATTTGCTGCATGGTGGGGCATGGGGAGCCAAAACTACCTTGGATTATTCGATTCAACCTTGGAGTTGTTGAATCGAATAATTTTCTATAGAGTGCGCTTAGTGTCACACCGTTGAAATATTTTCTTTCGTAATCCCTCGGTAGCGTCTGAATAGTTCTTTTCAGGCATGCGTTACTTTGCTCCTCTTTTAGGATTAACAAACAGAGCAACTTCGTAAAATTATTATTTACACGTAGAGAAAAAAGAACTTCACATTGATTTTTTTTTCTAGCCCGTAGAAATGGAATGTGTCCAGATTCCCCTTTCGGCCACAATTATTGACAACTGTACGTAATGTACGATGAGCGATAAAAATAGCTTTATAACAAGAATAATGTATTTCCGGCACAACTACTTAGCAAAGAGCATGAGTCCCGCAATTTTTTCATGCGAAAGAAGCAAAAGTCAACTGTTCCGTAGCAACAAGGATTTGTTGAATTCGCAACACTGCGCCATCCGTGTTCAGGATGGAAATCCCGCGTGATCCCAACGAGGCGTCATGACTAAAACAAATGTTTTCCTGTTACACCCGCTCTTTAGCCGAAAATGTAAAAAGCAAACATCTACAATGGCATCCTTCCTCGAAACGCTTTTTTTTTTTAATTCTAGTTTTCTCATTTTAATTTAAGTGGCCAGAGAGAATAAACTTTCCAGTGCTTTAAATAATTACTTATCCGTGACTGCAAGCGTCTACTCCGTATATCTGGTGACTCCAGTTACCTGAGCTCTTGTTTCGTTTATGCAACTGCATATTACAGTTCGAACATCCAATATCTTACTCACCCTTCTATTTGGCAAGGAAGAGAAGTCTTTGACGAGAACGAACTTCACCAGTTCAGGATCGCACACGAAGAGCACCGGTTTCCCGAATTCGTAGACACTACAAACAAATCCAAAGTCAGAGGAATGAAAGTTTATAACTTAGCTAAAAAGAGCCTCTCAAGATGTATGGGGACTCACCCAAATAGTTTCCCGAATTGAGTGTACCGCTCTTGGTCCACAAGATGAAATGGCTGAAATAGAAAACACAAGGTAATGGCCGTTTGCAAGTGGAAATAACGAAAACATTATGTATTGCACCAACTACCCACCCATGGTTACAGGCTTGTCCGCAATGGCCGTGACTTATAATTCGGATTCCGTTTTTTCGGAGTTTATTTCTAGTGAATTTCGGAGGCTGTTTTTCGGAATTTATTTTCCGCTGAAAATCGGGGGCTCATCGGAGTTTCTTTCGTTAGATTTCTAATTCTTCGAATTTCTAAGTTAAATCTTACTGTATTCTAAATAAACAAAATGAAAAAAAATAATAAAGTTCGGACACAGACCCGATCTAAATTAATGAGAACTCATCTGTCTCGAATCTTATTTCTGGAGCCGCTATTGACATAAGCATTCTTGCTATTGGCAGTATTAGCTATCCCAAGACCGATCCCCCAATGAAGTGTTGCCTCAATGACAGTCGATGCTTGGAAAGAACTAAGCTTCTGGACGTAGTCGTTGAAAAGCATGGAAGCGTACGCTGCCCTCTCTTTTCATTGAAATATATGGGTTCGTAGCATCCACTGCTCTGGAAACAATACACCTCGTTCCTATAAGCAGCGCAAATAGCATGGCCCAGACTGGAAACATAAACGATGACTTTTGTCTTGACCCAGAGGTACTGAACGAACCTTGAAAAGCTGAGAAGTAAACCCGTTTTTGTTTTTTCTTTTTTCTTTTTTTGGCGGTGGAAGATTTTAAGGGAAAAACACAAATGGCCTTTCCTTAATACCCCCTAACCCTACGCTCTTAAAGAAAAAAATATCGAAAACATGGTCTTTTTCGTCTTTTGCCGTCGTGACCTCCATGTTCAAGGTTTTTTAGATAAATTCTAATGGACAGAAATTTTATCAACGAGGGCTATTCGGATTTTTTCGGATTCATCTGAAAACATGGAATTCTATTTATTCTGCCCAGTTGTGGTACTTTGTGCTTTAAATATATTTCCAGCCGACTAAAAACGTTTCTCTTCATGCTCTAAAATCAACTTAAGACTAGAAATGCTCTGACAAAAGAAAATACGTTCCGGTATGTCGGGCAATCTCTAACCCCAGTTCGCCATGGTTCACTCTTAATACGAAGAGAATGCTAAGGAAGAAAGAGAGGCTATTCCAGTCGGCAAAAAGAAAAGATAATGATGACGCCTCGTTGTCTTGCTTCCGTGAATTTGCTAAAACTTGTAAACGTGAAATAAGAACGGCGAAACGTATTTTTTTTGGAAACGACCTGTATAACATTCTTATCTCAAATCCACGGAGATTCTGGAAAATTATCAATCCTCCTTCAAAGAAAAGTCCGATCATCTCAGATCCGACTGGAAATCAGCCGACTGAAAGTGAAGTATGTGACAGATTTAATAAATATTTCAGTAGCGTCTTCACTCGCGAAACGTTCCCCATGCCGCAATTAGCTTTTCTGGACGCACTTGGCGAAATGGGGTGAATAAATATTTCTTCTGAAGGAGTATCAAAATTAATAGAGCAACTTCCAGTCAGCTCTGCTCCTGGTCGCGACGGGATAAACAGTAAGATTTTAAAAATTACTAAGCACATCTCGTCCCTGTACCTGGGTAAAATTTTGAACCAATCACTTATTACTGGTATGCTTCCCAATGACTGGAGACATGCAGACGTCATTCCAATTTTTAAGTCTGGGTCATTTGACGATCTGAGCAATTACAGGTATTTCTTTAACAAGTGTATGTAGTAAGCTCCTTGAACATATTATTTTTACAGCCATAATGCAGTTTCTTGATATCAATAATGTATTATTTTCTAACCAGCATGGATTTTGTAGGAATCGATCATGCACAACACAGCTTTTCGAGTTGGTAACCGATATCCACAGTAATCTTAACTCACGAAAACAAACAGACGCTCTCTTTATAGACTTTTCGAAAGCTTTCGACCGTGTGCCACACTACAGACTTATAGTAAAATTACAAAACTTAAAAATTAATGTAACTGTAGTTAATTGGATAAAAACTTTTCTTACGACTAGAACCCAATCCGTACGTCTAGGTGAAACATCTTTACAATCCTTACCAGTTATTTCAGGCGTACCACAGGGTACTGTACTGGGCCCATTGCTCTTCCTTATTTATATAAATGATATCGGTTATCGCCTGGGAAGCTGCAGTGTGTTCGTCTGTTTGCTGTCGATCTTGTCGTTTATCACGCTATTTCCAGTGAAGATGACTGCCTAACATTACAAAAAGACCTATCCCTAATTGAAACCTGGTGCGCCGAGTGGCTTATGTCCATTAATCATAATAAATGTAAATGTGTATCTTTTTTTAAATCCCGTAATCCAGTAAATTACACCTATCAACTTACATCCCAGCCCATTGAAAAGGTTTCATCTCTTAAATACCTTGGCGTGCACTTAAGCTCTGAGCTCCCATGGAGAACTCATATTGAACACATAACTTCCGGTGCTAATAAAACTTTAGGTTTTCTAAGACGCCATCTTAGTCAAGCTTCACCGAAAATCAAACAGCTGTCATACTGCACCCTTGTTAGATCCAAGATGGAATACGCTTGTACCATTTGGAACCCCCATCAGGCTTACCTATCCGACATGTTAGAATCAATCCAAAACCGCGCAACTAGATTCATTCTTGCTGACTACTCACCCACGAGCATCTCTGCCCTTAAGGCTTCTTTATCACTACCTCTCCTTAATACTAGACGCACCGTAGATAGATTATCCTTTTTTCATAACCTGTTTTACAAGCCCTGGACTGACCATGAATCCTTCTCTTCAGCCAGTCATGTCTCCCTACGCCGTGATGATTGCCAGAAGATAGAAAGGCCCTTTGCCAGAACCAACATTTTAAAAAACTCTCCCCTTTTTTTGTGTATACGGGATTGGAATGCGCTACCTGAGTCCATTGTAACAATTACTGATCATGCCTTGTTTTTAGCAGAACTTACTAAGCATATGATTGTATAATGAAGATATTGCACTGTAAAATAACAGATGTTCTTTCAACCTATTTGTTCCTACATTTGATTTCAACCCTTGAAGTGTTATATTATGTTTTATGTTACCCCCCTTATGTAATGCCCCCCAGGGGCCCTTAAGGTACAATAAATGAAATGAAATGAAATATATCTACGTTTTATGATCTAGAAAATTTACGTCCGAAAAATAAATTCAAGTGAACAGTTTGGAATTCACATCCAATCAATAAAATCGAAAATGTTTTTAAGAGCAATATATTGTCACGAATGACAAATGATGCAGCGGTGAATAACTGGAGAAACTAAACGTTCAATAGGGCGAACTTAAGCTAAAAAAGAAGAGAGAGAAGAAGGCTAGCGTCGGCAGGCGTCGATGGCGGGGTAACAGCAGGATCAAGCTCTGGGGCAAGACTGATTTTGGCTCGTCACGCGGAACACTTTTTATACCCGCGCGAGTCTCTGGAACATTGGACGTAGAACGTTCGACGCGTAGAATATTCGGAACTCGATTAGACAACAAGGTTCTCGAACTTACCAGAATGTCAAGTTGACAGAATAAAGAAGAGTCTACCTCTCCCTGGAGTCGAACCTGGAGCCTCCGCGCGGCAGCCAAGCACGGTAGCCATTCGGCCACGGACGCGCTCGCTCGGCAACGCGCCTGGCATTACTCCCCCAATTAAAAAGAGCATCGTCTCTATGCAACGTGCAAGGGAACAAACCAAAGCAAAACAAATAGAGAAACAATGGGAAATCCGGAAGCTGGTAAAGTACAGTTCTACCAAGCGTAGCGCGGCATCACAGTTCAGTCTTATCGCGCGTAGTACGGCTTGAGGCGTACAACGTGGACGACTTCAAGTCGTGGTGGGCGGCGTGATATTCTTGTTCCGTCGGGCATGACCTCGTAGTTTAGATCCTCGAGTCGACAAAGCACCTTGTATGGTCCAGCGGTTTAACAGCTTCTTGCTGAGAGGGCGGCGGCGAACGGGTGTCCACAGCCCCACTCCGTCTCCGGGCTGAAAGTGGACGAAGGCGACGACGAAGGTTGTACCGTTCCGCGTCGGTAATGGATCCGCAGGCGGGCGAGCTGGCGTACCTCCTCTGCTCCTTGGTTTATCAACTGGGCGTCGTCGGTTCCGTCGACTGCTGGGTCGCGGGGAAGCATTGCGTCGAGCATCGTTGTCACCTTTCTGCCATGCGCCCTCTGGAATGGTGTCATTCTGGTGATTTCTTGAACTGCAGCGTTGTAGCAAACGTGACGTACGACAATACTTCATCCCATATCTTGTGCTCAACGTCGGCGTACATAGCGATCATGTCGGCGATGGTCTTGTGTAGCCGCTCTGTCAGTCCGCTGCTCTGTGGAGGGCATGCCGTGGTCCGACGGTGTTTGGCGTGGCTTAGATGAAATATCTTTTTGGTCAGCTGCACTATGAACGATGACATCCGTTTTGTAATGAGGACTTAAGGAGCAACATTCCGTAGGACGACGGACTCGACAAAGAACTTGACGACTTCCATAGCAGTGCCCGACGGAAAGGCTTTTGTCTCGGCGTATTGTGTTAGATAATCAGTGGCTACGAGTATCCAACGGTTTCCCAGGGTCCCCTCCGCAAATGAACCAAGTAGATCCATTTCGATCTACAGGAACGGCGCAGTTGGCGGAGGAGACCCGCCGGCTTCGACGGTGCTTTCTTGCGTCGCTGGAACTTGAGACATGACCGTGTGTAGAGCTGGACGGTTTTGGGGGGCTTGGTGCAGTAATAATTTTCACAAATGTAACGCAGGTGTCCGGACGTCGCATCGTCGTGACATGCTTGCGAGATCTCCTCTCGAACTATGGTGATGAAACTAGCACAGCAAATTACACAACTTCTCAATAGGCACCACAAATTTTGGATATGGCAGAAATAGCAACATCTCTCAATAGTTTCAAGAAAATAATGAAGACCTTTATTTTTGAAAACGTGTAAAACCTGGCGTAGAAATGTATATTTTCAAGTATTTTTTCCTTTTGCATTGCATTGTGTTTCCTTTGCATTGGACTGTTCTTTTTTTCTGCAGTGCATTTTTTTTCGTGTGTGTGTGAGCTGTTGGTTTTGCACACTGCGCTGTGCGTTGTTTTTATTTTAATTATATATATCTATATATATATTTTTTTTTTTTTTGGCTGCGTTGCATTGAAATCTGTATGGGGTGTCGGACCCTGGTCAGGTGAATTTTTCCACCTTCTGTCCCTGCCACCCCAACCAAAATGGCTAATAAATGAATGAAATGAAATGAAGATCGGTTTTGATTACCAGCATACACGGTGAGTTGTGGTCCCCAAGTTCTTTTTGTAGAGCTAGTACATCTCGTCGAATGGCGAAGGTCGGCAGGGCTCGTGAGAAAACACGTGGCACGGTACTCCCGCGCCATTCCAGGTGCTCTATTAGGGCGCGCAGCTCAGGATCGTCTCGTTGACGTTGTGCCATGTCGTCGGTGTTCACTGCGCCTAGGAAGCACTCGTCGTCGTCGTCGCTGCTGGCGGAAGTCTTTTCGACAGGGGCTCTGGAGAGACAGTCGCCGTCATTGTGCTTGCGGCTTGACTTGTAGATCACAGTTATGTTGAACTCTTGTAGTCGGAGACTCTAGCGAGCGAGGCATCCTGATGGGTCCTTGAGGTTGGCAAGCCAGCAGAGCGAGTAGTGGTCCGTGACTACGCGGAACTGGCCCCCGTACAAGTACGGAAGAAACTTTGTGATTGACCAGACGACCGAAAGACACTCTTTTTCAGTCGTGGAGTAATTTCTCTCCGCCTTGGACACTGTCCGACTTACGTAGGCGATGAATCGCTCGGTGTCTTCTTGCGCTTGAACCAGTACCACTCCAAGTCCTGCGTTAATAACGTCCGTGTGAAGCTCGGTTTCCGCATTTTGATAAAATTATCTAAGAGCAGCAGGTGTCTGGAGTGTTCGCTTCAGCTCGTTAAATGCCTGTTGCTGGTCCTCGGCCAATTCGAACTTCTCGGTGTCCTTCGTGAGGTTCGTGAGCAGTTCTGAAATCCTAGCGAAATCCAGAAACGAAGCACCGATAGTATGTACATAGCCCAAGGAATCTTCGCACGGCCTTCTTGCCTGTCGGCGCTGGAAATGCCGCCACGGCGCGAGTCTTCTCTGCGTCTGGGCGAACGCCTTTGTTACTAACCACGTGGCCTAGGAACCTCAGTTCGTCATAAGCGAACCGACACTTTGACGGCTTGAGGATGAGTCCGGCGGTCCGTATGGCTGGGAGAACTGCTCGGAGTCGTCGCAAGTGCTCGTCGAAGTCGCTTGAAAGCACTACGACGTCGTCAAGGTATACGAGACAGCTCTGCCACTTCAGTACTGCCAGTACGGTGTTCATGACACGTTGGAGAGTGACTGGCCCCCTGCATAGTCTAAGGGCATGACTTTAAGCTCGTACAGTCCATCCGGCGTGACGAAAGCTGTCTTCTCTCGGTCCCGTTCATGGACTTCGATCTGCCAGTAGCCGGCCTTCACTTAGATCGATGAAAAGTATCCAGAGTGGCGCAGCCGGTCTGGCGTGTCGTCGATGCCGGGTAGTGGATAGACGTCTTTCTTCGCCACCGCATTCAGCTGCCGGTAGTCCGCGCAGAAACTAAAGCCGGGGGTCACACTGCTCATACATCATACAAAAGACAGTCTGCAAACATATTCGAACGCGAGTCAGCGCGAGATCCGTGCTTCGAATGCCGTATGGCAAGGAGGAGGAGGAGAAACTAGCGCACCCCATATTCGAATCAAGGACTCGTGTTTGCAGACTGTCTTTTGTATGATGTATGAGCAGGGCGACCCGGGCTCAAGCGTTCCGTCCTTCTTCTAAAACAGTACGACTGGAGAGGCCCTGGAACTGCTTGAAGGCTCGGTTATGCCGTCGTTCAGCATATCTTGAACTTCCTCCTGTATTACCTTCCTTTCTCTTACGGAGACTCTGTACGGCGATCGACGCACAGGGAGCGCGTCCTCCTCAGTAACGATGCTTTGCAACAGCGGTTTGGCGCACCTTCGACGACGTCGCAAAGCAGTCGCTGTATTTGGTGAGGAGGTTAATCAGCTACCGTCGTTTCGGGCCCAGAAGCTTAGGGTCAATGTCGAGCTACGCTAGCGACGTACTGTCTTGCTGAGGGGGCGAGGACTCTTGTGAAACTGCGGCAATTTCTACAGAGTTCCCTAGCTCCTCGACGTGGCCAACAGTGGCACCTCTAGTGAGGTATTGCGTTTCTTGTCGGAAGTTTATGACGTGGACCACAGTGCGCCCACCCTTAAGTGCCGGTATGCTCCTCTTGCGGCGGCTATTCCTCTTCCCAAGAGAAAGTGTACGTTGCCTTCCAGAACAACTTCGCTGCAGGTAGTTGCATCGGTCAAGACGGGCGACTGACATTGTTTAGGGTTTCTCTGGAGGCGGAAGAGGTGTCCGTTGCGTCACCCTGTTCTCCCCAAGGCCGTGCGTCACCCTGTTCTCCCCAAGGTCGATGACAGTGCCGTATTTAAACAGAAAGTCCATGCTGTAAATGACGTCACTTGCACAGTCTTGTAAAACGACGAATTTCACCGGACACGACACGTCTCGCCGCGAATTTCGACTCGAGCAGTGCACCTTCCGACAGGCGGGATAAGGAGTCCTCCAGCGGTTCGTATCTGCGGCCCATCCCACGGCGTCATCACTTTTCGAAAGCGGCGAGAGAGTCTCCCACTCAAGGCTGCGTAGTCTGCTCCGGTGTTTACGAGAGCTAATGCGTCGTGGCCGTCGATAACAACGTTTTGGATGTTGGGCACCGTTGCAGCGGCATCGTTGTGATACCTGGTGTCGAAACTGTGGGAGCGCTCCGGCGTTCTTGGAGGCTCTTTACATCGGTCGTCTTCGGCAACGCCACTTCCACGAGGCGCAGTTAGTGCTCCCGGCGACATAGGGGGAGACAGACTCTCTCGGCGGGGTCGTGGCGCTGGACACGCTGAACGTCTTGGCGATGGTGAGCGGGATTTTCAGGGCGGAGAGGCGGCGCTGCACTCTCCGAAAAAAAAAAAAAGGTGTATTCTTACACCCTTCGTCCCATACAATACACCCCAAAACTTCAGTTGGACATACAGCGCACTGACGTCGATCCAACGGCACTAACTTTCACGTGAGGCTTGATAGCCGTGTGGTACAGCTTATGAAAATAGCTGATGTACGTGTTACTGACTGCAAAAAAAAAATAATCGGTGCTCTTCTGGCTTTATAGCAGAACCTCAGTGTTTTCTCTCAGTGGTCTTTGATACGTACATTTCATAAGTTATATCGCTCCGTTCTCAAGCCCCTCGTAAAATTTGGGGCCGTCTGTTCGACTCGAGTGCATCGAACTGAAGTTTCGGAATGCATTCCATGGGTCCAAAGGGTGTAAGGTGACAGCCTGAGTGTGAGGATGGCGACCGTCGGAGGTCTGTCACGAGGGTGTTATCTTGGGTGCGGGTGGAACCCGCGCAGTCCCCGGTAGGGGCATCGATGGTAGATGGGGTCGGCTTGTGACAGCAGATGGGGCGTCAATCCCTCCATACGTCAGTTTTCCTTGGTGTGTCTCGGCGGTCTCACTGATGTCGTCCGCCGTGGCGTTGGGTGTACGCTTACGTTGTTCCCGTCGTGATGCCACCAGTAATGTTCAGCAAATGGCGGCGGTCGTCGAGCCATCGCGGCGTAATTCAGCGTCGGCTCTTCGGCTGCAGTCACGCTAACAGTGGCATCTGGCAGGAACGCTCGCTAAACCTCGTCTCGTACAACCTCGGCGATGGAAATTGGGGCCGGGCGCTCAGCAGCCGGGGTTTGTTGATGATGTCGTTGTCCGTTTCATCGTCGGCGTCGTCATCATGCTATCGTCGAGGTCGTAGCCAGGGGCTTTGTCTAGTTCGTAGTCCGGGTCGTTTCGAGGCCATAGTTGAGGTCGTCGTTAATGTCACAGTTGGATTCATCGTCGAATGTTTTCAGGGGACGTCGTGTTCACGGTCATCGTCTTCGGAGCTATCGTGGTCAGTGCACAGCTCGTACGCATCGTGGGTGTCGTTACCCCGCACCTCCGCCAAAATGTCACGAATAAGAATATGAACTTGATTAATAAAACTTAAAATTAGCGTTTATGTTTTTAAATAAAATAATTTTAAATACGTATACAGAAGTATGGTTAAGCAGAACGGTACAGTGCATGATGATTTTTCAATATTGTTATCACGGCTTGCCTTTTTCTGAAAACGTAAGTAATGGTACTTCAAACAAAATTCAACGTTTTAATCATAACAACCTCTAACGTTAACTTATCGAACAAAATGCCCAACACACGAAGCCGTGATTTACGGGCGCTAACAGAATTATCATTATTACCTTAAAAAAATTAAAAAATTCAGTGCCCGGAGCTCTATTACGTTATATACCGGAGACCGATATATAACGTAAGTATACGTTATATATCGGTCTTAGTTTCGCTCGAAAGTTCCTTCGTCAAAAAGAAGGCCTTGTTGTCAGTTAAAAATAGGACTACTCGCAATTCTAGCTTTTTTTATATAGCTTTAGAACATCCGTCATAAAATGATCACCTTGAACAGCATTCGTCTTGCGGCTCCAAATATGAGGGAGAAGTTTTCGTGGACAACATTCTGGTCTTTCCAGTAATTCCTGTACCTGGCTGCATACCTGAAATAGTCGAAGGAGCAAAAGAAAACTTCTCATACGTGCAGCGGCGCAGACTTTCCATTTTGCCGGGGAGGAGGGGGGGGGGGGGGGGGTGCTGCGCGTTACCTTCTCGACAGAACTCGAGATAGAAGCTAACGAAAGCCCGCTGAGATACCATTTCCTATGTATTTCGTCAATAAAGGCAACGTGGGCGTAATTTTGTTTACATGCCACGACTAGAAGCTCGTTGCATGGCACGTAAACAGCGTCTCGGTAAGGATCATGGCCCGGGCCCGGGGGAGGCTCTGCCCCCCCCCCCCCCCCCCCCTGGATTTCACCAGGGGGTGCGCGAGCCCCGATGCCGCCCCATAGTCTACGCCTATGCACACGTGTACAAAATAGAAATCATAGGTAACTTCAATCCTCGTACACCACAAACGTAATTATAAGGAAAACTTCGTAGCCTACGTTATTGAATATTGTGTATTCATACATTATTGGACTTTATGGTATTGCTAGACAGTGGTGGGCCTTTATTAAACTATCGTCCGATGACTGCCTGGTGGCCGGCTATAATTACTGGAAATAAATTATAAACTTTTGTATTTCACGTCTTTCTCACCAAGTAATCTCAATACCACATTCCTTTTTTGTTGCAAACTAGCGACATTCTTTTTTTTTGTTGTTGTTGTTTCTAGGATTGTCGAACTAACCGGGGGTATTTGACAAAACCAATCGAGAGTTCGATTCCCATCAATGATTAAGTTAACAGCTATTAAAGCAAATTTCGGGCAGCATACTGCAAAATGCTGATATACAATAAGGAAGGGAAAAGGGTCACTCCACAAACGAGCGTCTAAAACAGATACGTTTCTGCCCCGTTCTAACGTAGCTTATTCTATTTAGGGGACTCTGAGTAACAACATTTTTCTGCATTGCGGGTAGCCACTATTGACCCATTTTACGCACCCATAGAAACTCTCGCCCAGTGCTACGGTGTGGTTTTTTTTTTTTTTTTTGGTTTTCTTTTTAACAGTTTCTTTTAAGAACGTGATATTATTTTTTTTTATTTGATTAATTTGCGAACCACTACATTTTTGCGTGTACCTCCCAATTATTTTATTTTCATTTAAGGTATTTGCGCCTCGATAATTACTCTAGCGTTCGCATTTTCCTTGGAGCTGTTCGCTTTATTTCAGAAGAGTGCCGTAACGTATGCAATCTTTCCGCTTATTCCCATTCGCATATGAAGAACTGTACCTTTCCCGCGGGTGTGCCTTCGCAGGGGAGCCAAATTTAGTAGAAAAGGTCAGTTACGGAGCTACCCCTATATAGATGCTTCCTAAAATCAGCACCGTCACGCAGTCGGGGCTTCAAGGAATGACCTAACGTGTTGAAAACGCTCGATTTTCGCGGAGCTGGAGCAGCGTCATCGCTTAATAACGCTGTCTGGTCTAGGTGATAAACGAACTGCCTTCTTTAACCACACTCAGTGAATTCCCCTTTCTTGGCTCCAAAAATTCCCTATTGAAGGTACTTGCCCGCAAAATTCTGAGATATCCCCGCATATTTTCGTACGTTCTTTGCCCTTATTTTCGCATATAAACTGACCAGTATCATACTGGTCAGTTTATGCTTTTCTAAACTACATGAAAGAACCCTTAGACGCGGCCGCATCCCGGCGCCTACGAGTCGCTCAGGCCCCTCTCTGTCTTACACCGTGACTTTCTCTTCTGTAAACATATAAACCACAATACTTTTTCTTTTTTAGAATATACAGCGTTCTTTAAATTGTTCCCCCAATTCTCTCGCTAATCCTTAAATTACCTGCCAATTGCGTTAAAATTCCCATTTCACTTTTCGCTGGAATTGAGACCGAAATTTTCAGGAAAAAGCGCGAATTGCCTGCATGGAACATCGCTGACCGCACTCAGACACGAGCAGCAGCTGACGACCCATTCGACGCGAGAACGCACTGGCGCCATCTGTCCGTGGAATACTTGTGGTTTTCGTAAATTTCCTATTTCTCACGCATCATCTTTTTTTTCTCTAAATTATTGGCTGGAATATATTTGCCGGTGTTATTAAGCACCATTTCTCCTAGTAGAATTGATCTCGCAACTAGGTAAAAAGCATCGCTCTAGTGAAATGCGGTTTTGGGGCCACCAGATAGATGGCGCCGGCGTGCCGCCTGTTCCCTCGTCGTATAATTGGGACCTCGGTCGTGATGCGATAGTATGGGAACCAACTTGAACACTCGCCGCGACGACGGGCAGTCCACACAACTGCGTGGGAAGGCAGGCTCTCCGGTTCATCGAATGAAGGCACCGACTGATTTGTGGCTGTTGGGGTAGGTATGATACTCGGAAAGGGGACGCTTCTTTTGCAAGCCGGTACGGGCAGTCACCTGATACGAAAAAGAAGGTTACCGCCTGCGGAAACCTGGCTCCGTATTTTCGTCCGGTTTTCCTTTCCCTTGTCCGGCATTTCTCCTCGCGTTTCTCGTTGCATTATCTTTCGCTAGAAGCTAGAACCTGGGCATCGAGTTCCAATGAAACGCGTCATGTTTCTGTGTTCGATGGTCGGCGAAACCGTAAAAGTCTTCCTTTGTGGTCGCGGCTCCAACGAGCGCGTTTGTTTCACGCCTAGATATGACAATCTTTTTCAAACCGCCCGAGACGGGGCGGACAACGAGAATAGAAAGGTACAGAATCCCACAAGGCAACGTCTTAAGCTCAGCTGACTCTAGGAGGTATGTCAGATCTTTCGTGCGCGCTTGTGTTCTCAACTTGTCGGCGTTTCTTTATGTGTGCTGTGGTTGGTTGGCGACTTTGAGAATGTTCCAACTTGCTTATAGAAAGAGTCCGCTGAAAAAAAAAATGAAAGACGCTTCCAATCCCCTCGAATTAGAGCGCAGTTCTTGAGGAGGGGAAAGAGAGGAGGCTATGCCCCTCCTCCACATCCGTACCCTCCCTTCCTCCTCTACTGCTCCCCTCCCCTTTAGGGGAAAATTTCCCGCTAACTTTAGCGCGGAAAATTTTCCGGCTGGCGGGGAAAAGTTTCCACTAATTTTAGCGGGGAAAATTTTTTGCTAAATTTAGCGGGGAAATTTACCCATAAGGCAACGCGCGGTGACGTCATCTATGGTGTCACTGGTGACCCTCGTGACGTCCCACATGACGTCAAGTGTGACGTCATTATGGGGAACGTCCCATAATGCACTCGCGGTTACGCCGACGGCGACGCCGCTCAAGCCGGAAACGGGCACCTAAGAGCTGCGCCCTAAAAACCAGTCAGCGGAGTTAGACGTTGCCATCTGTCATTCTCTTCCACTTTGGATTCTTCTCGTTCTCCAGCCAGCGTCAGCAGTGGCGTAGCCAGAGGCGGGCCTTGTGAAGCTTCAGTCTCCCCTCCCAGCCGACCCCCCTATAACATACACACGTATTCCAATTTATGGGCATTCCAACCACCTCCAGCCCCGCCCGCCCCCGGCCAGGTCGAAAATCGTTTTGTGGAATTACGTTCCGTGGACCACTTTTCATGGGCACGTTTCGTCGACACTAACGTTTCATGGACCCGCGCTACGGGAATCGGAGACTGTACGGACATTTCGTCACGCGTGTATCATTGGGGTTAACCCACCCGCCCGCCCGTCAGCAGGTCGCCACGTCGAGGTGAGTTGGTGACACGCAGCGATCTAATAAAGAGTGAATTGTTCTATTTACGCCTTTCCTTCTGCCTTTGGTACATTTTGTTGTAGCCATCTGTCGAAACCGATGCACCGTTGAGATTCTTGGCGTGCTTCCGAAGCATGGCTTGTTCGTCGCGATCCGACATCGCGCGCCTCAGCACACAAAGAGCGGTTTCCTTTTAGAAAATCTCTCTCTGCCCTTCCCCCCTAAAACAAATGGGCGATGGAGAAACACCGCAGACAGCGAACGCTATCAAGAGAAAAAAAAACTGAGGCGGGACGACGTAGTTGTTCACGTGATCTCTATTCTATCGCCTGACTGCTCCGTACCGGCGTGCACAAAAGAAGTCCCTTCGGGGAGGAGGCTAGAGTAACGAAAAAACAAGCGAACGAACTTGGTACAACTCCATTCATGGTGCAACAGCTTTTCGACGTACTTTATCCGATTTTCCTCATAGAACCTTCAAATGCGCGCAGCTCATTCCTGCTTAACAAAACGCACAAAGAAATCCGTAAAACCGGATGTCCTTCAGGTAACCGAAAGTTGACGTTTGAATTGGAGTAGCCCACGGTGTAGGAAGTGTGTGGCCTCAAAGGGTGCGCATTTTCGGCACCGATTTGAAGTGCAAAGGGCGCGGCCAATGACGTCACGGACGTCCAATATATATTTGGTGTTCTTTGACGTAAACACGTTTTCTTTTGGATGCCGCCGACTGCATTTTAAAACGTCGGTCGGTCGGCAAGTGTGTGCGCGTGGTCGGGTGCTCGGCGGCTGGTGTACTCGCTGGTGTGTGTCGACGAGCCGCCTTTGCTCGTCGCGTATCCTGAGACAGTGTTTTCCAATTTCGTTCGCCCGGTGTCGTCGGTCACTAATGTTGCAAAAGGCGATTCATAGTGACTACAGTAACGTCCGACGGGACTTTTGCAAAGCGTTCAAGTGCCGTCCGACGATACTCCACCGACACTACGTACTCCGCGTTAAGTGCCGTCCGAAAGTCTCGTATAAAATGAATTGTCAAAACATGACTTCCGAAGCCGTAGCGTAACGCTTAGCGTTTAAAATATTACCGCGCGCGCAGCTGGCCAAGTAGGCAGCGCGCGCGTGGCCTAATGGTTATCGCGCCTGCGTCCCACGCGGAAAGCCAGGGTTCGATTCGTGGGAGCGCCGCGCATCTTTTGTTATTCCTGCAATTTAGTTTTCTGGTAGATTCGAGAATAATGTTGGGCGTATTCGAGGTCCGCATGTTCTACGCGTCGAACATTCTACGCCGATTATTCCAGAAGCTCACGCATACATAAGGGGCGCCGCGTGGCGAACCGGGCTGAGTTTCGCCGCAGCGTTCGATCCTGCTGCTTCGCCGCTTTCGACGCCCGCGACGCTCTGTTGTTATTTTCTTTTGCCTTTTATTCCTGGGCACAAGTTCGCCCCATTAAACGTTTCAGTTTTCTCAGTTATTTCGTTGTTTTGTCACCTTGTCATTCGTGACAATATCTGCCCATGCGTAAGCGGTCGTGGGTTCGATCAGCAGAAGGCTTACTTTTTTCCTTTTTTTTTCCCGAACATTTTGTCTTGGGGCATTCGGCGATATTTACGACACTTCTTTTTTTACGACTGACACTGAAAAAAAAGAATGCTGTCGACGACAGTGCTAAAAGCACGAGCTAGTTGCTTTGGACAGCGCGGCACGAGCGTTCCTGCAGCGGGTGCAGTCATGCCAGTCAAGGCTACTCGCTCGCCGCTTGCACGGCCTTCGCAGCTATTCTATGCAACGGTGATAATCCGTCGTATTACACACACAGGTACCACTCCAAAAAAAAATGCGTATGTAATTACTGCGGCTCGGCTCTGTCGCCTCCGGTACACGTAATCCTCATTTGCAACAAGAGTGACGGACGGCACTGGGCGAAGTTTGAAAATGGAGAAGGCTTATTTTGATGATTCCTGCGAACGCGACGAGTGCAGGCGGCAACAAGACAACACGCAGCAGCGCGGACACCGCCGAGCACCCGGCCACGCACACGCCGAGCGACCGACATTTCAAAATGCAGTCAGCAGCATCCAAAGAAAACGTGTTGTTGACGTCAAAATAACTATGACGTCAAAATAAAAGCTGTTATTTTGACGTTCGTGGCGTCATTGGCCACGCCCCCCCTGTATAACAAATCGGTGCCGAAAATACGCAGCCACCATCAAGTGACCCCACCGCTGAAGAGCTTTAGCCCGAACGTGGACACTTTAAGCTCCAACTATTCAATAATAAAAAATAAAAAAAAGTGAAACCACTTACAAGTACAGGAGAACCAGAGCTGTCAGCAACAAGAGTATCCAATCCAAAACGCCCATGCATTTCATCCTCAACACGTCGGCGCCTTGCACAGCGGCACGCGTGGAAACGATGCCTCCCTGCAGAACAAACTCCTCAAAGTATAATCTGAATTTCTACAGCGCTCTTTCCTTATATCCGCCAGCACAGGCGTTCTAACGACAACCAAGCTCGGCGACAAAAACTAAAAGACACCCAAACATCAACGCTGTTCCGAAACCGCCAGCGGCCGTCATAGCCTCTCCAATTCGTAGCTGCGCAGGAGACCTGAGAGAGCGTAGGGTAGAGTGGGCAAGGAGAGAAGCTGTTGCCGTAGGCGACGACCTCGGGCGTGCGCGTGGTGCGCGGCGGACTGTCTTTCTGTCCTTGACGGAGGGGAAGGGGGCAACGGGCCGTTTCAAAACATCGCGCAAAGGGAGTGTCTCTCTTTTTCTTTTTTTTTTTCTTGCACGTGAGGTTGGCATTTTGATCGTAGACTTTTGGGTAAACCGCCGGATGGGTAGATAGATGGTAATGGCTATAGCTTTGCAACGGGCGGCAGCTTGCGCCACCTAGCTCTTTTTTTTTTATTTGTATGAATTTTGTTATAAGAGACCGACCCCCCCCCCCCCCTATTTAAAGTGATTCCATTGGTTATTTTTATCTGTTCTTTTTTTATCCTTTCCTAGATCTCTTTCACCAATTTTCCGATTTCCTCCTAGTTACCGCAATTCTTTCCCTATCTATTCGTCCAGGGATGGGCAAAATACATGCAAATATGTATCGAAATACAAATACAAAATTCTTCGTCAAAAATGTATTTAATTACAAATCTAATTACATTTCCAAAAAAAGCATTTAAGTACAAGATACAAATACAACCAAATGTGTTTGGTTTCCCCCCAAATACTTTTCCAAATACATTCCTCAAAATTTGCGTCAGCGACTTCAGGGCCTTCAGGGCACCTGCAACGGGTTTCTGGGTATCTCATTTTAATTTTGCATCGCACACTCGGGAGTTAGTGTGCGAGGCTCTAGTAACGTAATAAAAACGTAATAGAAACGACGATGGCAGCAAGCTGTGCCGGGTGACCGCGGCGCTAGGTTCTGGCCCTGGATATGAATGCATCGGGGGTGGCAGCCGCCTCCTCGACTGGGCCACCCCTCTGGAGCCGCTGCCTTCACCGAAGCGAGAGACCGCACCGTCTGGTGCCAGGACTTTGCTTTGAGAATGTACATCGGACGGTCAGCCGGGGCCGCCTTGGCTCTTTGACCTGCTCGCCTGGGCCTTCACCGTTGCCTCCAGGACTCGCGCGGCGGTTCGGAGGAGCGAGTCGTCCTCATCATGCATGGCGCCTTCGTCACCGCCGGGCCGCCAGGGCTTTCCCAGCCCCAAGGCACGGTGGGGCCTGCGGACGCCACCCTGGAGAGCCAGGACACTTCTGCGAGCTCGACGGGGGACAGGCCCAGCGAGCAGTCCAGTGGAAAACACTGGGCTCACATCGCCCGCAACATCGACCCGCGCCCTCACCCGCGGGCTTTATTTCACATCGCCAGCGTCAGCACCTCTCTCTCATCTATACGTCGTCGCCCTCCCCTTGTGCATGTCATCTTATAATCGTCATCACTAGACGTGGCACCGCTGGCCTCCTTGGTATGGGCTGTCGCCTTTCCGCGGTGCCACGGCTCTCCCGAGCCAATAAAGATTATTATTATTATCATTAAATATAATCACAAAAAATGCAATCAAGCTTGGACTTAATAGGTGAAAAAAAAAGTGCAGAGCTGCAAGCAGCTTTTTTTGTCAATTACATTTTGGTATAGACCAGGGGTCTCCAAACCCCGGCCCGCGGGCCAGATCCGGCCCGCTGAGGTCTTCCGACCGGCCCGCGGCTGGCCGCGGTCCTTCCAATGAAGCCCGGCCCGCGGCCCTATTCCAGCAGGGCCGCCCGGCGCAAAACTAAGCGCGCATGCGGATGGCAAGTCGTCTTCTTCCTGCGCAGGAGTTGCAATGACGTCAGAACGACGCCGAGCTCCTATTGGCTGATTGAAAAAACAAAAATAGTGGGTACACCTGAAAACATCCAACAATGCGATCTTTCACCATTTTTTTCAGACAGCCAATCAGAGCTCGGCGTTGTTCTGACGTCATTGCAACTCCTGCGCAAGAAGCAGACGATTTGCTGTCCGCATAGAAACGGCTCCTCAACGGTCAACACGGATCAACCGCGTAAGCGAAGAGACCAGAGAAAACGAGAAAAAACCACCAGTGTGTTCTGTCGCAACATTATTCATTAAACATCGCCATCACCACCAGCATCACCGGCATCACCATATCAAGACTTCGATCGTTCTGAAGCGTGGAATAATAAATAACATTACTAATTACTATTATTAGTGCCCCGTTTCATATCGGTGTAACTATACGGATCTTAAAATTCCTTTGCGCTTCCATATACAGGACGGATTCCACGTAGCTTGAGGCAAGGTTTAAAAATATTTTGGTGCAATTTAGGAAAACCAAGTGGAAGAAATAAGCGTGTTCATTGTTTAGAGCAGGTCGGGCTATCTTTTATACTTTGCCTTATTAACTAATTAATTAAGATCGATATTAATGAACTTTTGGATTATTCAATTTAGAGCAAAAGTTTACTCACAAAGTTGTAGAGCGTCCTCAACGACATCCAATTCAGTTGTTTTTTATCAAAAAACCTCATACACTGTTCGTTTTTTAGAGCTAGCAAAAAAAAAAAAAACTAGCATATAATTTTTAAAAAAAACGTGAACAACGCCCTCTCAACAATGTTCTATTCATCATGCGGGCCTAGTTTATTCAAGCCGCGGCTCAGAGCGCTGCACTACACACTCTCAAGCGCAAAATCACGCTTTGTTTTTTAATAATTTGCATGATTTTTCTTTTAAGCCCAGTAAAACGAACTGTCTTAAAGGTTTCTTGACAAAAGCCACTGATTTGGACGTTTCTGAGGACGCTCTACAGCTTTGCTATTAAAACATTTGCTCTAAATTGAATATTTCAAATGTTTATTAACTGATATTAATTAATTAGTTAATTGGGCAAAGTACGAAAATAGCCTGACTTACTCTAAACAATGAACATTCTTTTTTTTTTTTGGTTTCGTCTCTCTAAAATGTACCCAAATATTTTTTTTTTTTTAAACCTTGGCTCAAGTTACGTGGAATACCCTGTATACAATGTCCTTCCTGTGTTTTATATATTTCATATATTGTCAGCATCAGTTCTATCATTCTCCTTAGTTTTCCGCCCCGTCGGAACACTCCAAAGGTTTTATGCACTTTGATTTATGCCTGGTAAGTTTTTAGTCCCATTTATTGTACAATGTCTTAACTAGCTAAATATTGGATTTATAACTAAATTGGATATGTTTATCCACCTTTATCTTTCTTGTTCCATGGTTATCTGTAACTTTCAATTTTGCATATTTAAGCGCTTATCTGAATGATTATTTTTTTTTTTTCAGATTTATATTCACTTTCAACATTTTAAAACCCGAGACTTAAGACAAAAAAAGACGACAAATAGGTGGCAATACGGTCTTTTTTTTTTTCTTTTTTTTTGTCCCAAGTCTCGGGTTTTACAGTGATGAAAGTTCACAAGCTCGCTTGCATTTTCTCTATAATTTCTATACTTACCTATTTATATTTTGGACCTCGAGACAGCGACAGATCCCCGATCCGGCCCCTTCGTCAAAAAGGTTGGAGATCGCTGGTATAGACCAACAAAGACCTGAGACGACCAAAACGCGCAGCACTAGCTAGAGAATTGTTTATTGTTGCAACTCGCACCAGTTACGAAAATCTGGACGACCCGCGCATTCAGAATGTTCCAGGTAAAAATATCGATGGAAATCAGGCTGGAAAGCATCACAAGTTTTCACAGGCACTTATTTAGCCAGTTTTCCTGTGAACGTCGATTTCGTCACTATTCTTGCCCTGGACTAGCACCGTAATCACAAAGTCACTAAACGCTTGTGCTTGATTGAGAGACACTGCAATCGGTGCAGAACGTAGTTTTCTTCCTGCTCTGGACAGCGACAATAAATTTGAGGGATGTATTTCCACCCACAAAATTGTATTCAATTACAATTGTGTTTGAAAAACCCACGTTTCAGTATTTCAATACACACGTCAGATACATTACCCAATTTGTAATTAAATACAAATGCAAAATACAAAAAGTATTTGAAATACGTATTTCAAATTCTTGTATTTGAAATACTGCCCATCCCTGCATTCGTCCATCCATGTCTGGAGAACCCAGTGCTCCCTCCAAATTTGTGGTCATTCCCCCCAAGAGGGTGGGACAAAGCCCCGTGCACCTTAAAATTACATATTCCTTAGTTTCCCTTTCGCGGTTGCATACGTCGCACAGATCTGTCTACTTCCTGCAATTTAGCCCTATACGTTTTCGTTCTTAGCATCCCCGTTCTAGCTTCAAACAGCAAAGAGCCCCCCCTGAATCATCATACAGCTGTTCCTTCTTCATTTCTTGTTTGCGTGCCCTGTATATTGTTAGAGCTGATTTCCCCTGCATTCTCTCTTCCCACAATTTCCTCTGAGTTTCCTTTACTCCCCTTTCTACTGATATGCTCTGATCCGCTCCAGCTCGTTGAGTATGTTTAAATCTCAGCTTGCGGGTTCGGTTTGTCCACTTAGTGTACTTGTGTACTTGTGCAGTGTACTTGTGCAGCGAAAGTGTACTTGTACACTTTCGCTGCCCATCGTGTATCCTTAATTTCAGCTAGTCTTTGTTCAAATTTTACTTTACTGATCGCTTCTCTACTCTCGAAAGATGCCCAACCCATATCCCTCTGTACTCCCTCATTTGGTGTATTTCCATGTGCTCCCAATGCCAACCTACCCAGACTCCTTTGCTGTATCTCTAAACCTGCCTGGATTTCTGACCTCATACACAATACCGCATTCCCAAATGACAGTCCTTGCACCATGACTCCCTTCCATACACCCTTAACGACTTCATATCTATTATAGTTCCATAGTTCCCTGTGTTTCATGACAGCTGAATCTCGTTCCCCCTTCTTTATTACAATATCTTCATGGTCTTTTAGATGCCGTCTTCCTTCACTTAACCATACTCCCAGATATTTGTACTTTTCTACGTGCTCTATCAATGTGTCCTGTATCTCCAGGGGTCCCCCTTCTCGTCGTTGAAAACTATTATACCCGACTTGTCCCTACTAAATTTTAGTCCTAAATTGTTC